ATCCATCTCCCCATCTTCTGGGGGCAGCTATTCTGCCACGGGGCTTTGAGAGTAGTTAGGACCAAATGGAGATCTCTGGCAAGTCCCAACTTTAATCCACGGTTGATGCCCGCGCGGACCTGGTGCCCCAGCATGTGCGGGTCCTCGGGGTGCATCCTGCACGGAGGTCAGAAGTTCCTGGCACACGTGGAAACTACAATCTGAAAACCTGGGGAACTGTACATAGCCAGGTGGCACTCGCCCGCCTGCACTGCTTTTTAGCGCGGTGGCCAAAACCGTTGGTGGTTTCCTGATGTGCTTTCATGCTCTCACCAGAATTTCGCTTCCTTTTTCCACTGCCGTACTTAGTTAAGCCCGCTCCGCCCCTGCTCCGCACCGCAAAGGGCGGGCAACGCGCCCATCGGGATGGCCCTCCATGGGATTTTGAGCTCCCCTGCCTAGGGTCACCTCTCTTTTCTTTATGGGCTTTGAGGCCTTTTTTTTTCTGTCTCTATGTGTGAAGCTGTCAACTGCTTCTCAGCAGGGAGTTCTTGCTATTATTTATCCTTTATTACATCAGCCAAGGGTACCTTATCCATTTTTTTCTTGATCCCATCGCCTTAATGAGAAGAGGCTTTGGAGCAGCAGCACTTATTTCTCACTAATGTTTTTTATAGCTCTCTCTTGTAAGAGTTAAACATCCTGGGTAATATTCTGTGCAGACTAACCTCTTGCATCTGGCACTTCTGGGCTTTTCCATTTGTAGTATGTGTCTGCTTAGAGCACTGAACTGTCCAGAAACAATATTTCTGGGAGTAGCCATTACTTGTCTTTTCCATGTCATCTTCTGTCCTTAGTTACAAGATCTTGCTCCTTAGAGAACGACAAAGGGAGTTTTTTAACTTCTTATTTGCTGTATATGTTAAATATGTGTGTGTGTATATATATATAAATTGTGGTTTTCCATCTGGTTTTCAAAAAGTTTGCCTAATGATGATAGAGACTTCTCAGGAAACATACTGTCATATAGAGTATGCTTTTGCAAAGGAGCTAACATCTAATATATTTTTTATTTTCTTATATTTTAGCTGTCCTCTGGGTTAATAATTGAGTTTTCTGATAATGGCACGGATGAGGTTGGTTCAGGTGACTATGGAGACTACGGAGAGCCCTGCTTTCAGCATGAGAATGCCGATTTCAACCGGATCTTCTTGCCAACAATCTATTCCATCATCTTCCTAACTGGAATAATCGGAAATGGATTGGTTATTGTCGTTATGGGCTACCAGAAGAAACAAAGAAGCATGACTGATAAATACAGGCTGCACCTCTCTGTGGCTGACCTCCTTTTCGTCATCACCTTGCCATTCTGGTCTGTGGATGCAGCCATCAGCTGGTACTTTGGGAATGTGCTGTGTAAGGCGGTTCATGTAATTTACACAGTCAATCTCTATAGCAGTGTCTTGATTTTGGCTTTTATAAGTTTAGATCGTTACCTGGCAATAGTCCATGCTACCAACAGCCAACGACCACGAAAGCTGTTGGCTGAGAAGGTGGTGTATGTGGGTGTATGGCTACCAGCTGTGCTTTTGACAGTGCCTGATATAATTTTTGCCAGTACTAGTGAAGTAGAAGGAAAATATCTATGTGATCGCATGTACCCTCATGAAAACTGGCTGATTTCTTTCAGATTTCAGCATATCTTGGTAGGACTTGTCTTGCCCGGTCTGATAATCCTGACTTGCTACTGTATCATAATATCTAAGCTGTCACACTCGAAAGGCCACCAGAAGCGCAAAGCCTTGAAGACAACGGTTATCCTCATTCTCGCCTTCTTTGCCTGCTGGCTGCCATATTATATTGGCATCAGCATCGACACGTTCATCTTGCTAGGAGTCATCAGACACCGTTGCAGCTTGGAGACAATAGTGCATAAATGGATCTCCATTACCGAAGCCCTGGCATTCTTCCACTGTTGCCTGAATCCAATTCTGTATGCCTTCCTGGGTGCCAAATTCAAAACATCAGCACAAAATGCCTTGACATCAGTTAGCAGAGGATCAAGCCTCAAGATTCTTTCAAAAAGCAAACGTGGGGGACATTCTTCTGTTTCTACAGAGTCTGAGTCTTCAAGTTTCCATTCCAGCTAACGCTGCTCCTTGCCATCATTTTATAAATAGACACTTAAAAGTTGTGCAAGATTTCAGAAAAATAAGACTGACCATAATGTACAGATTTATTTACAGTTGGAATTTTATTTTGTTTCTTTTAGTCTCTGTGAAGTTTAATTGACTTATTTATATATATAAAAAAACCCCTTTCATATTGATGACAAACTGTCTAGGCAGGTCCTGTGGACAAGTGGTTAGTTCACAAAAGTTTTAGTGCTTGTTTGTATGTATAGATACGTGAACTAAACACTTCTGGATTGTAGCAAAGTGAGTGTTAAAAGTTTAGAAAATATTTCTCTGTTGTTAATATGTAAATGTTTTCAATGTTGCTGTTAAATTCTTAAAAAGTTGGCTGTGTATTTTTATCTTACTACAAGATGTTTGGTTTACAATAGCTTAACTCTGCTGTAGAAATGGCACTTATAACCAAAGCCTTTTCTGTTATATGCTAGGTTTTTTATCCCCCATTCTCAGTAACTGATGGTTTGCAAAACTTTCTGTTCAAGGTGAATAAAAGTATATGACAAAAAGTTACTTTGAGTGGTATTTTTATTTCTGGTTAAATGTCCTTCTCAATGCTTTTATTTACAATTCTCAATGCACAATAATTTCTTTGAGAATTGATGGCTCTTGTATGAAAACCAGGAAAATTAATTTCAGTACGTATGGATTATTCAGTTGACACCTGTGAGTTCTAAGTAATTCGTTAACATCATTATCTTTAGAATGACTTAAACTATCACTTTAAACAGAAACTTTTTGAGGGCAAAACATTAAATGAAAACCAGTCTATTTAAGCAATTGCTAAAATTTACAGCCTCTTAGGAATGTAACTAAAATTACTTCCTGTGACTAACTTTCATGCCATGAATATCAAATCAATCCTACATTTCTTCTGCCTTTCACTGTACTTCCAAATTTAGTTTCACATGTTAACAGTAATCAAAAGTAGTTGAATCAAAGCCATTCTCCTATTTGATGTTGTATTTGGACTAGAAATTAGGTTATTGGTGTATCTGCTCTGTGAAAGATAAGTTTTTTCTCTATAGAGCTTTCCCTATCCTGTCTACATCCAGATTATCTTAAGATATATAATCTTAACATTTTTTTGAAAAATCCAGGATGTGTACCAGTTCTCATCTTTTTCTTTTTTTTTTTTTAAACCAAGAATCAGCCACACTAGAATTTCCAATAATTGTTGAAGTCTTGTCTTAAGTTAGTCCTATGCTGCTAGTAGAGTGCATTCAAAAGAAATGAATACCCAAGAGGACAGAGCCATGGAGAATACTTGTATGTTCCTATATTAAAAAAAAAAAGAAACAAACAACTGTTACTGATTTAGAAATAATTAACAGTTTGGAAGGCAAAAAGAAAAGAAAAAAAACCTACTAGTGTCTTGGATTCACTTGTAGCAGTCATTTTCTTCTCCTTCTTAGTAGCTGGTGCAGTGCTGTGTTTTAGAGCTGGGCTTAAAGCATGACAACTAGTCACACAGAACTGGAATAAGCAATATGGGTACTGCAATGATATTACCCAGAAAGAATGTGCTAGGAGTACAGCACCCTAGAGATTTTGTGAAGCATGAACTTCTGTACTGAACTGTATATTAAATTGTATGGTTTATTTTAGATCTTTTCATAAATATAAGACCTTTCAGTTTTCAACTTCCCTGCCCCGTAAGGAGACTGCAACCTTGGTTACATCCTGTGTGCTTTCCTTCGCAATGACAGTAGCAGTCATCTGATTCTATGTTCAGCTGATCCAGTTGCTGAACCAACACAAAACTAATCTGACGGGGTGGGGGGTAGGGAATCTCTCAATTTAGTGAATTGAACCCAACAAGCACTACAGAAGTGCAAGACCCTGTAAGCTGGAGGCAGGCACAGGGAGAGAAGAGTGAGATAAAAGGAAGAGGAAGCAGGTACCCTCTTTTAGCAATTAAACTTCTAGCTTAGTTACCTCTAGTGTGTATCTTCACTCAACATAAATTAACAACAGAAAAGATGCATTCTCAAGAAACAAAAGGTCTCACTTTCATCAAGTTGTTCCTCATAAAGAGTTGAGAAATCAGGAAACCATGGTATGGGGGCAGAACTTCTTAAGTGGTTTATTTCTGTTGTTCATTTGTGTGTTTTCTTAATTTAGTGAGGCTTTCCCCATGAAGAATTTGTTGTCCTAAATGATTCTGATTTTCACCTAGCCCAATCAATCACTGTGATTTAATTGCACTTATAAAATAACGTATTGGCTATCAACACACTGTTGCTTATTTGTAGAGGAAATGTTTAGAGCCCTTTAGCATTAACTTAGATTATTCCCATTATTCTTCACTCAGCCAACTGTTACCTCAAGCAGAGAGTTAGCAGGAAAGAGTAAAACAGAATAAACTCAGCAGTCCATGTTACTGCCAAAGACCACTAAAAGACACTAACCAAGCAACAGAAAGCATTTGCTTAAAAAATAAATTAGCAAAATCAAAACATAACCCGTGGCCCAGAGGGATGAGACCTACATTAATTGTATGAAACGGTCATTGTTTTCAGTAGAATTAATGAAACTGGACAGAAGAACTTGTTAAAAAGGAGTTGCAAGATCATTAGGGTTTTGCTCCAGCAAGGAACACTAGCAAAATGTATTTTTTTAAAATAACTTTATCTAAATATTAATATAACATGTATTTGTACTGTTTACAAAGCAAATACTTGCAAATTCAATGAAGTTGTCATGAAGAAACATAGTAAGAAATTACAAATCCAGTTCTGTCCTTTTACCTCTGAGAGCTTCTTCTAAAGCCACTGAGCTATTCCAAATATACCATGTTGGTAAAAAATACGAATTTATTCCCTTTTAAAACAAAATCACCTTTAAGCTGATTTTTCTCGAGGCTATGACTTTTACATCTTTGTGAGTCAGAGGTAGTCCCAGTAAATGCATTTCTCAAAGTGTAAATTCAGTAACAAAGGTGAATAGACCTAATATTGTAATTTATACATAGGACAAGTCCACATAGATAAAGAACTTTCCAAAGTTTTTGAAAAGACTTTCCAAATATTTTTCCAAATTATTCCTCTCTAGTATGCAGAACGATCATAACGACATTCTTCAAGTCATATTCAAGGCATAGTCTCAGCCTTTCCCCAAGAGTGGTAAAGTAATAGCTGTGCCCAAGTAATTTTAAACATGCAACTCAAGATACAGAACAGAAAACAAATGTGCGTATTGCTTACAAACCAGTTAAAAATGTTACATGGTAATTTAAAGATTTATAATGTATTTACAAAGATTCTTTCCACAGAATTCAGGCACTAAGTCTTTTGCCATGGTTGTTAGGAAGTGCTAACAGCAATGCTGGACTAAACCACAAATATTCGCCTAATACTATAATGCACACGTTTTGAGTGTTTAAGATTAGTTAGAAATCCTTTGGATCATGCAAAGCTAAACCAAGAACAGAACATGTACATGAACTTACTTTTGCTTCCTCTGAAATGCCGTTTGCAAGTAAAGTTAGAATACTTAAAGCAGTGGGATAAAATGACACTATAATCCATTATTTGTACGGTATATTTTTACTCTGTCTAATCAGGTTGTACAGAGTCCACATTAGAATAGCATGTGAAAAGATGAGGGGTGGTAATGTGGGTGTTGGAGCTAATGTATGCAGGCTATAGAGGGCAGTGAGTAAGGTGGAGTTCCTTGTCTTTTCTTGGCTAATCTTATGACACAATCATTATACAGGGGCTTGAACTTCTATGCATATATATATAAATCAAAACAAAATCACCATGAAAATAAAAAGGAAGTAGCAGTAATAACATGAAGTCATTCATACAAGTGAATGGTTTATCTTACGATGGTTGAGCTCTAGTTGGACAATGTACAAAGTGACCAACTCTAGATGTTTGGTTGAAAAGGCCATTTTTTACATTGTTTGGGAAAGGAAACAGCATGACGAGGAAGCACTTCCTTGATCCAGGCATGCCTCCAAAATCCCTTAACAATGGAGTATTCTCATATTCTCATAGTGCTGAAACTTAGGAAACACTTAAGCAGATATAGCACCAGAGTTTTTGCTCAAAGGATGCCACTCCCTCACTTTATGTTTTGAAAGCACTTTTACAGACTCTTTTTCACAGCCATAAATCATGTCTCAATTGAAATTACATGAGCACTGGGATTATTTCTTACAGAGAAGACACAGATTTCTTATGATTTTTTCTCTCTAGGCAAGAAATTTTCTGCCACTCTTTTAATTTTCTCTGAAAATCTTTAACAGGATGAAGTTTAAAGATAAGTTGTTTTAACATCACCTCTGTTACTATCTTCCCACCATTTTAGTTCTAACAGGACATAGAGTAAAACAATGCTATGCTTATTGTTTCTTAAAACATGTTCTTATAACAGCTGACTATACGCATACTTTGTCTTTATTTGTATATATTTTTAACATAACTGTATCTACATATATATAAAGATGTAGATTATAAGCACCATTTTCAGTTGTTGATACAAGTGATCCAGGGTCCAGCACAGCTACTACTGACTTCAGAGGAGTCAGGATTCATTACAGATGTAGTAGGTATTGATTAAAACTACTATTTTCTTAAAAAGACAGGTGGCTTCAGTGACAAACTCCCACTGAATTCAGAGGCAGCAGGGTACCTAGAGAATTATGATTCCTAAAGTGTATAACCTTATAGCCCAAATCAATTACAAATGATGATTACAAGTTCCTCTGATTTCAGCTGCAGTCGGAGATCTACAAGAAATTAAATCTTTCTGTATGGAGCAGGTGGAATTGTTCTGCTGAACATAACAGAAATAACTTTTCAGCAAAATGGTTTTCCCTTACTGAAGGCACGTAAGCTTTGCATACCCAGCTATCAACAGTCTGACAGTAATTTGTCTTCAGTGTCAGTGTTTGAAAGAAATATGTCAACATTCAAAATATCCTTATCTTCTGGAATTCACACCAGGAACAGATTCTCACCACACAAACATGTCAAACTAAGTAGAAATTATGAGGGATTTTTTGAATGGTTACATTGTGAAGAGTTCTGTGGCTTCTGTTTTGGTTTGGGTTTGGTTTGGATTTTTTTTCTGTTGATGCTGCCTTTTGTTTCTACTGCCCTCTTCTCAAACCTTTTATTTTACTTGACATTTCCTTCAAAAATATACCATCATATAATTTTTTAATGGCTCTGTTCTGTTAAGACTACTCACAACACCCTGGACAAGTAAGAAAAACTAAAGAGACTGCTAAAAGAAAAAATACAGCCTTCACCACAGTTTCTATGTCTTCTCATGTGTGTTTTCCTTCCAACATCTGCTTTTCTTCAGCAAAAAGATAAATGACTTCTACATCTTATGAAAAGTTTGAACTCAAAGGTTGGGTTTATTCTCAAGTTTCTTGAAGTGCAGTAATAGCACACATTTGTTTACTTTCTTGGTTCTTTTCTATTCAGCACTCTGAGTACAAGTGATCTCCTCAAGAGAGGTCTGATTAAGAAAGGCTGAGGG